ATTGTCATCTGGAAAATGCAAATTGAAAAGAATGAAATTAGTAAAAATATCGCGATAGAAATTTGCCGAAAAAAAGGAAAATCTGAAATCTAAAATGTTTGACATGCAAAAAAAAGTAATTTAAATATTTTTCCCCATCCAATTTTCATACATATATATATATTACAGATTTTTTCATTTTCAAATTGCAGATTTTTAGGTAGAATCTCATCAATTTCCTTCTTTTCAAACCTCATGTTCCAGATAATTTTCTCTTCGTCAGCGACTCATTTCTACTGGACGTTAGCAACAACATTTTAGCGTTGAAAAGGGATTGTTTATATTCTGCTGATTTTGATCTGGAAAATGCAAAAATTGAAAAGAATGAAATTAATAAAAATATTGCGATATAAATTTGCACAAAAAAAAAGGAAAATCTAAAATCTGTAAGAAAACGAAAAAGAATCTCACTTCTCTGGGAAAAAGGAACATTTTAGAAAAGAAAACAACTCTGGAAAAAAAAACTCAAAACCTTTTATTGACTCATTCCTGGATTGCTTTATTTTTTTTATTGAAATTAGCAAAATATTTTCTTTGCATTCAGTTGTAATGAAACCAAATTCCTTATATAATAAGTCATGATCATACATCTGCTTCATTTATGCATCTGATTAAAAAATAGATGACCTTTTTTTTCTTTTTAAGTCGACCTGAAACAGAAATAGTCTTTTTAATCAAAAAACATTTAACTCGTGTTTATTTACAGTAGGCTACATTGTTTCCCCTTTGGTGCAAAAACTCATGGATCCACCTTGAGCTGCTGCTCAGCAAACCAAACCCAACGAGGGGCTTAGCAAACCCTTCGCTCTATTCAACCGTCTCCTTTCGTACTGCTTATGTTGTGCATGAGGTCCTCGTATATCAAACCCTATCGTCCGATGTTTACTTGAATATCATGTACAGAACCGATCTCGTTACTCCTCGAGGTACAGTCCGAATGAAGGTAACAGATACTATTACATGTGCAAATGCTTTCCTTGAATAACTACAGAGGTAATATATATTTTTGTATTTTTTAGATGTAAAAACAAACGTGTATGTAACCTGTTAAAAAGAAGAAAAAAGAAAAAAAAAGTGGCAACGCGTTGATACCAAGTCCAGCAGCAATCCTGCGTGTGTCGTAGAGGAGGGGGTGAATGGCGGACGGGTCGTCGTGTCGTTTACCCTTCCTGTCGAACCGAGGCCTCCTGCCCTGAAGTGGAACTCTAAGCACAAAATGTTTTTTGAAGAACCATACCTTGCATGTTTGAAAGCAAACCTGTTTTTAATTTTCTGTCATGTATTCACCTGTCTATAAACCATGCAGCTTCTTCAGATAACTTGTTTTATTCATCCTCATGTGACCATGTCTGTTTAAGCAAACTATACATTCATTAATTGTGCTGTTGAATAAAAACAAAAATGTTTCCCTCATTAGATTTTTCTCTGCAATTCAATCAGAATCCATCAAGAGGTTTTTATTGATGAACATCATGCTGTGGATTTTCAGAAGTTTTTCCTCTGACCTCTTAGATCAACTTTTAAATAAAAAAGTCCAACATTTTGAGTGAACCTCAGAACAAATGTTAAAAGGAACCGGTTAGTTTTTGTCATTAATTAAAAGCTGACTCCAGCTGGGTTAAAAACGTTCGTCGCTCTGATCTGGAAGGCATTTTCTCCATCGTACTGGTTGTTCCTGGATGGTTGGAAGAAGCTGCGTTTGGATCCAGCTCTGTTCTTGGACAGAGTGGAAGGCAAAGCATTGGCTCATCAATGGACTCATCTTTTCTTTCTGCTGATTTTTATTTTTTTGTCTATTTGATGTTTTGTTTTTCTGGGGGT